CACAGAAACCTGCCTATCTCTGCCTCTCATGTGCTGGAATTAGCTGCCTGGCTCAAATATATATATATATTTTTAACTTAAAAAAGATTCTTGCTGAGTGGTAGTGCACATCTTTAATCCCAGAAGGCAGAGGCAGGTGGATCTATGTGAATTTGAGGACAGTCTGGTCTACAGAGTAAGTCCCAGGATGGACAGGGCTACACAGAGAAACCCTGTCTCAAAATAAAACAACTCCCACCAAAAAACAAAAACAAAAACAAAAAAACCCAACAACAATAACAAAAACCCTATATACCTCAAAATGACTTTCTAAGGGGAAAAAATATTTTTTTTAAAGACAGAGGCTTATAGCTGGGCATGGTGTTGCACACCTATAATCCCAGCACTCAGAAGGCAGCAGCAAACAGATGTCTGTGAGTTCAAGGCTAGCACAGTCTACAAAGTGAGTCCAGGACAGCCAAGGATACAAAAAGAAATGCTGTCTCGAAAACAAAGAAAAAAAAAAAGACAGTCTCATGTAGCCCAAGCTAGCCTCAAACTTACTGTGTAGCTAAAGATGACACTGAACTCCTGGTCCTCCTACATCTGCCTGCCACAGGCTGGGTTTACAAGTGTGCCGCCACACCCACACTTTTTAGAAAGAAGAATTAAGGGAAGTACAAGCAAACAAAGGCAAAGCCAAACAGATCACACAAAACAGAACAGCCCCCTAGAAGAATTATGCTCTCACCTAAGAACCAAAACAAGGTAGTTCTGACACTGGCAGAACCCCCTGGGCCATGCACACAGTGTTCACCCTTATTCCTGGGGCAAATTTCACCTCCAAAGTCAGTTCTGCCACTCACTCAAGAGGGGCCAGTTTGCCAGGGAGCCATCCCTGCTGATCCAAAGGTCCAAAGCACAGGCTATTCTTGTATTCTTGATTCGGATCCTCCTTCCTCAAAACACTGACAGGCTCACAGCACAAGTCCAGGCCCATAGGTCACTTTCATACAGAATTGACATTCATGCTCATTAACCTTGAGCCCAAAGAACAGAAACCTCCAGCTTTCCTCCCTGCTCCGGTTTTCCCCCGGCACTTCCTGATCCTAATTTATCAGGTACACATAGCCATTGGTCAGCAAACTCTGTGAGGGTTAGAGATCTGGGCTACTTTATGCGCTACTAAAGTCGTAGGCTTTGACGATATCCTGACAGAGAGAAAGCACACAGATACTGCTGAGTAAGTGGATAAATGCCCCAAAGGACACACAGCTGTCTACCCCCAGGCATCACCCTCCCTCAAGTTCCAGGATAGTATGGGTCACACAGTAAGACCTCCTGCCCTCCAAAACCAAAACCAAAAGAGGCTGGGCCTAGCGGCTGAGGGCTATAGTTTTAGCTGAGAGGTAGAGGCAGAGGATAGCAAGTCTGAGTCTTGCCTGGGCTACAGAGCTGGTTCCAGGGCAGCCAGAGCTATACAGAGAAACATTGTCTTGAAAAACCAATAGATAGACAGACAGACAGATGACCAAAGAGATGATAGCTCAGGGGCAAGATAGCTTTGGTCTCTAACACCAGGCAGAGGGGAGGATGTCTTTTGCCTAGCAAAAAGAAAAGTGTGGACAACCTCCGAGCTCTACGTACCTACAGCTCAACCTGCTCAAGCTGAGAGAAAACCTCTGGCTGACTGAGCCAGGCAGGCCATCTCTCCATCCAGAATTCTTGTTCTCTGAGAACTGTCAGTAGGCATACCAGCTCCTACAGTCAAGCTCTGCAGGAAGGTCAAGTGACAAATGGCCACCACAGGAATATAATGAGTTTGATTCCTGGAACCAGGAGTGGGGGTGGGGGTGGAGGGGCAGGACATGACCGACCCTACAGAGTAGTCTTTTGGTTTCCATATGTGCACCATGGCACAACTGGATCAGCAGTCACACACACCCAATGATAAATTAAAAGAAAGAAAACTCTTGCGGTTGGCTGATACACTCAAAAGCAGAGCACTTGCCGAACAAGGTCGTAGGTTTGAATCCCAGCACCCACCAAACGAAAAAAAAAACTTGCAACTATGTAGTGGCACATGCCTGTAACCCCAGCATGCCAGAGATGGGAGGCAGCAGGGTCAGAAGTTCAGAGATATCCTACACTACATAGCTAAGTTCAAGGCCACAAAGAAAGAAGAAAAAAGTTGTTTGGAGCCAGGCACTGTAGCTCAGGCCTGTAATCCCAGCACTCAGGGAGGCGGATACAAGTGAATCTCTGTGAGTTCAAGGCCAGCCTGGTCTACAAAGCGAGTCCAGCACCACACAAAGAAACTCTGTCTCAAAAAAAAAAAAAAAAAAAAAAAAAAGTAAAGAAAAAAATTCCCAGCACTTGGCAGGCAGAGGCAGATGGATTGCTGTGAGTTTGAGGCTAGCCTGGTCTACAAAGTGAGTCCAGGACAGCCAAGGCTACACAGAGAAACCCTGTCTCGAGTCCCCCTTCCTCCAAGAGAAAGTTGTCTGTAAGCACAAAGAAACCTTGGTCTTGATCCTGGTCCCTCTGTAAGGGCAGTAAGAACTCTTAAACGCTGAGCCATCTCAGGTGAACCGCATTGGTAGGTACTGGCCACTCCTCAAAGAAACAATGTAAAAAGTTAGCTTGTTAGATTCTGATCTTGCAAGGTCCCACCCAGTCCCTACAATTCTAAAACACATTCCCAACAGAAACCTGCACATTAGAGTGTTCCCCCAGAAAAATGTTCCACACACAGAAATACCTGGAAGAGCCAGGCAAGGCGGTACACACCATTCATTAGTCCCAACACTTGGGGTGCTTATGAACTTACTGAAGGTCGCTCTTAGGACATTAAAAATTCTTTTGGAAGGCATTGCAGATGCCAGGCAAGTCCTCTACCTCTGAAACAATAGCCACAACCCCAAGAGACAGATGGATAAAGAGAACGTAGACATACTGTGGAATGGTACTCATCCTTGAAAGAGGAGATCTTGTCACCACATGGGTGGAACCAGAGGGCATTATGCTCAGGGAAGCAACCGTGACGCTGCAAGGAAAATGCTGTATAATCTCACTTACAGCGAAGCTACACCCAAACGGATGGCTAGAGAAGAAAACAGGGCTGGGGGGTGGGGGGGGGGAAGAGATGGGGGAACCAGATCAAAGATTACAAAGTCAGAGACCGGTAAGAGTAACAAGTTGGGAGCTCCAAAAGACTGTGGGTAATCAAAGGATACTGTATCCAGGATTGTGCTGAGTAAGTTTATTTCAAAATACATAACTACCCATGCATCTACTTCACTATAGGAACCATATTTACTACCTATATGCATCCCATAATATGTGACCAACCTCAAATATACATACTAATTTTTTTACAAAAATTGCTAAAATTATTTATGTGCATTTATAAGCATATGCCATGCCTGTGCAGGGGTTCCCTTAGAACTGGAGTGTGATTACAGGCAGTTGTGAGCGGTCTGACCCGGGTGCTAAGGACTGAACTGAGTCCTCTGGAAGTGCGCTCTTCACCTCCCCCCCTAGCCACCCTCCAGCCCCCCACATTAAAGTTTAAGAAAGAAAAAAAAGCCCAATGTAGTGGTACAGATCCGTAATCCCAGCGCTTGGAAGGTGTGAGCACTGAGGCAGTAGTTCGAGGCCAGGCTCGGCTACAGTTGAATTAAAGGAAAAAGCACTCAGGTGACTGTATTTTGATTTCTAGTCCAAAAAACCTTCCTCGCCTTTGCGCAAGAATTCACCATCTTTATTTACATTTCTCCTCTTTGTTCACCTTCCCAAATTGTCGATGAAGGATTACTCTGCCCCAGGGTAGATTTCACCATCATTCCCTCAAAGCTTCCACTGACGAAGCCAAGGGTTTACTGGGCACTTACTATTAGCCAGAGCGGTTAAAAAGTAACCAGTGATACCTAAATGTAAGAGCAACCTTCAATAAGGTCACAAAAACACACCTTTCTCTCTCCCCTCACAATCATCATTGCCCAATACTCACTCTCCCCCCCCCCCCCACAAAAAAAAAAAAAACAAAAAAAACACGCGCCCAACCCCCCCCCCCCCCCCCCCCCCCAAAAAAAAAAAAAAAAAGCAAGGAATGTGGGCTCAGTTCCCAACTCTCTCTCCCCACGAAAGCAAAAGGGTATTACTCTCTGGGAGTACATTCGGCAAACATTTCCACCAGTTAAGCATTCAAATGTGCAGGGCCGGCCCAGGTGGGGTCAAATGGAATGTGGAACCGAATCAGCACGCAGGAGCCAAACCAAAAACTTCAGTGCCAAGACGGATAGGTGGTTACGAGAGCATGGAGTATGAGAGGGTGTGCGGCGCTTGCGTGGAATGTGGGACACCTTGGAAGCGGGGCACAGACCGGATGGAGAAGAAAGTAAAAGATGGGGGGAATGCGTTGGATTCTAAGAGACCCTTTAGGCAGGGGGGTGGTGGCGCACATCTTTAATCCCAACACTTGGGAGGCAGAGGCAGGAGGATCTCTGAGGTGAATGCCAGCTCGGTCTACAGTAGTGAGTTCCAGGACAGCCGGGGCTCTGTGGAGAGAAACCCTGTGCCAAAAAAAAACACAACAAAAAATTTAGGAAAAAGACCCTTCATCACTAACCAACCGTGACAACTCTTGTCACAATCGAATCACACCAAATTACAAGACCAGCGGCTACGCTGGGTTTCTGGGTTCTGACTCTTCGGGCAGCCCAAGTCTGGGCAGAAAGACGCCGGCAGCTACGCTTTTGAGAGCTAGGTCAGGCCAGGACTTGCCGCCAAAACCTAGGAACGCAGCCACCAGGCAGCCGATTGCAATCACACACTGGGCCGGGGAGGTGTTTCTCTAGCTTCAGGAAACCGATCTTCAGATTCGAGAGGCCGTGTCGGTGTCCTCTCTTCCCACCATCTGACTGTGTGACGGGCACCTCTCCTGCGGAGCCCAGAAGCCTGGGGACCCCGCACGCCCTGCTCTGAGCCAGCCACCCCTATCAGCAAGGGCAGGTGCTTACGCGGAGATCACCTTCCCGTTCAGGATTCCCGCCGGTGCCATGGCCTTTACTAGTCTGCCGCCCACGATCAACACCAGCAAGAACCAGGCTCCTGCCCCTCCGCGCGCGCTCCGGACTGCACGACCCACGTGCTCAGGGACCTCCTCGGGGAAACTCGGCCACTGCGCTTGCGCCGCGCTTCCTGAAGCCGAAGGTGCGCAGGCGACCCGGAAGGACGTCGCGAGCCGCGGACGGCGGAGGCCCGGGAGAGAGCTGTCGGAGGCTGCAAGGAGGACGTCGCCGAAGACTGGCTGGCGGCTGTGACTGGCTGCGGAGAGAGCCTGTGCAGAGCTTGTCTCTGATGGGCCGGGAGCGTCCCACCTCGCTTCTAGCCAATCAGAGGCCGTGTCTAGGGGGCGTGCTGACGGGGGCGTGGTCTGGCCGGAGCCCGGGCGGGAGCGAGCCTGTCTGAGCAAGTTTCTCTGAGCGAGGTTACAGGGTTGCTGTGACAGAGTCGTGTGCGTCCCTGTGTCGTGGCGTGATCTTTTGGATCGTCCCGGCTTCTCTGGGCAGGAGCTGTTGGGGGCCTTAGGCTAATTGCGGGTGCTGGACCCGGAGCCTGTGATGCGGCTTTCTCCACTTTGTTAGGTCCCGAGCTTTGGGGTAACTTTGCCTCACTGTAACCCCCCTAGCTGGAATGAGGACATCCTAACGAGGCAATTATGTCCCTCCCGGTAGCCGCCTGCCGAGAAACAAAAGCATCCCAGGGAACTGAATTTCCTCCTGGAATCTCGTGCGGGGAGAAGCTGCTTAGTGTCAGCCAGAGTGGAAACTTGTTTCTGGGAAAAAGATTTCACACAGATCACCTTGCAGGACTGAAGCCTAGACAGTGATGAACGGGACACGCCTTGACTTTAACTGTTCAGCTCTGTATAATTCTGACTATTTAAACCTTACCCTCATATAAGGACCCAGAAGATAAGACTTCTCTTTGTCCTTCTTCCCAGTGTGGCCACTTTGAACAAATCTCCTTTTTCTGTTACTTACCATTACTTGTTTAGTTGGCTTGTTAAGGATGGTGGCCAACTTTGTCTATTAGATTGTAAGGGCCCAGGGTCTGACTGTCAACGCCAATAACAGCAGGGAATAGAGACAAGCTCTATAACCCAGCTTTCCGTCACTTAATAATCTTGGTCGAACCTGCTACCCTCTCAAGGTTGAAGCCCAGAGGCACGTTCAGCCCAGCAGCTGAGAGGGACGCCAAGCTGCAGTCTGGGGCGCCAGCCTTGTGGAGGCAGCAGGAGTCAGGATGAGCGCTCCTCTACTCTCAGCAGATCAATATTGGAGCAGCGACCACCCCGCTAGATGCCAGTAAGGCCGACACCCCTCTGCGCTGGCCCTGGTGCAGAAATGAGTTTGGGCATTTCCTTCGGAGCCTGGTGGTGAGAAGGGATCAAAGTCGCTGAACTGGCTTTGTTTTTTCTGCTGCTGGAACTGGGCTGTCTTCTTACCCTTCTCTGGTCGCAGTTTTCCCCACACAGTTCTAAAGGTAAGTCCTTAGAACGTCACCACATGGCTGTTGATTTATCTATCAGTCACTGTTAGAGTGGCTGTTTCAACGAACGGCGGGGACTCCCGCGTGGTTACCTTGACCTTTCTGTGCTGGAGTTAACCTAAGGCTCACATGCTAGGCAAGCGCTTCTCCTCATCAGCTAGGTTCCCAGCTCTGGGTCAGAGCTTGTACTGAACTTGATTTTTTTTTTTTTTTCCTCTAGTGTGTGTGTATTTTAGTTTGTGATTTTTACCTGAAACCACATCATATAGAGAGCTAGAAGATCTTTCATGTCTCATTAGCAGTTTAACTGAAGTATGATGTGCATATTGTATAATTTGCCCATCTTTAAGAATAGAAGTTGATGATTTTTAGTTTACAGTGTTTGCATTTACAGAGCTGGGCGACCATCACCATGATATAATTAGGAAATCTTCGCTGTCTTCATTGATGGTTGGTTGTTTATTTATTTAATTAACTTTGGATACCTAACCCAGGCCCTCGCCTATGGTTCAACATGAATTCTATTACAGCCCAAGCCTGTACTTTACTATTCTTTTTTCAAGACAGTTCTCTATGTAGTCCTGGGTGTCCTAGAGATCAATCTATAGACCAAGCTGGCCCCTCAAACTCACAGAGATCCACCTACCTCTGCCTCCCAAGTGCTTGGATTAAAGAAAAGAAAAAGGGGTAAGGGGAGGCTAGAGAGATGTCTCGGTGGTTAAGAGCATTTGCTGCTTTTGCAGAGGACCCAGGCTTGGTTCCCAGCACCCACACAGCAGTTTACAACCTCCTGTAACTCTAGCTCCAGGCAATCCAACTCCCTCTTCTGGGCATCCATATCACATCACACACAAGCTATACACACGAATACATACAATAAAAATGTTTAAATGTTTCTGTAAATTGCAGTTAGTGTTTCTATTGTATATTGCGTTTCAAAGAAGAATCTTACTAATTTATTACTAATTAATTACGAATTTGTGAGGAAGAGGCCCAAGCCCCATTTAACAGGTAGAGAAATGGTCTTAAGCCCGTATGCCTACCAAAACCTATGACCAGATTCGGCTCCAAACCTTGATGCCTCATCCCTAAGTCTATTGCCTTTACCATCTCAACAGACTGGTTTTAAGCTACAGTGTCTATGTGTGACATGTTTAATCCATTCACTGAGCAAGTAATTGTTGAACAGCCATTTCCTGCTAATAATTCTGTTCCAAATGCTGACAGCACCCTAGAGAGCCCAGTATCACAGTGAACTGTTCCTGAACCCAGCTCATATTCTAGTGAGAGTAGGGTATAGCCTGTTCTGTCAGATATTTTCCTGATTCGTCACTGTTTTGGCCACTCAATTAGATACCACTTTCAAACATAGGTGCTTCCTTCTGCAAACTGTCTTTACCTTCATTGTTTGGGATTAAAGGTATGTACCACCATGTCTGGATCTAAGCTTTCTTCCTTTCTTTCTTTCTTCCTTCCTTCCTTCCTTTCTTTCTTTCTTCTTCTTTTTATTTTATTTTATTTTATTTTATTTTATTTTATTTTATTTTATTTTATTTTATTTTATTTTATTTTATTTTATTTTATTTTATATTTTTGTACCTGATACTTGCTGTACAGCAGGCTGGCCTTGGACTTAGACCTGCTTGCCTCTGTCTCCTGGATTAAAGGTGTGTTTGTATTCCAGCCGGATCACACAGGTCTAGAAGGTCTTTGGATGTGATCTCATGCCAGGGCAACCATGTTACGAATTAACATTCTTTTATAAGAGGAGATGGGGAAATGATGGGAGTTGGTTGGTTTGTTTTCCATGGCTGAAGATTGAAGCTCACACGCCTACGTGCCAGGCAATCACTCAATACCAGTGCCCCATCCTCAGTCTAAGTGCTGTGCTTACAAGTATGGAAAGAGAAGCTTTTCTGGGCATCTGATGTGAGAGAAACCTGACTCAAGCAAGGGGCTTGGAATGTCAGAGAGAAAGCAAGGATCTGGCCTAAGCAACTAGGCAGGTAGAATTGCCATTTTAACTCTTCGGGGTGGAAGGCTCATGTTACGGGGATAAGATTCTCAAATCATTTAAACTGTTCTTAAATGCCTCCCGGACATCCAGTCCCTAGAACAGTTCAGTTTAGAATCCCAGAAGATTATCAGGGGAGATGGCCCTGTGGGTAACAACGCTTGTCATGCAAGCCTGACAACCTGAGTTCCAACCCAGGCCAAAGTAAAAAGCGGGATGCAGCGGCGTGCATCTGTAAACCGGCACTCGAGCTGTGAGAGACGGAGGCAGCAACCAGCAACTGGAGACGCACAGAGAAGCTGGAAGCAGCGGGAACAATGTGAGACCTCGCCTCAAAACAGCGGAAAGAGAGAACTGACTCCTGAAAGTTATCCTTTGACCTCCATGTGCAGGGTTGGTGTACACACACACACACACACACTATCTGAATGTAATGCCAGCATTACAGTAAGGCTGTAATGTAAGGCTACAGTACCTTGCAGCGTCTCTACCTTGTGCTGCAACAATTCATCCCAGTGTCTCCTGGAGCATTTTTAAAATTTGTTTATTGTAGGCTTAGTTTTTTTTTTTTTTTTTTTTTTTTCAAACACCTACTTTATTTAATGTTTGGAAACACCTCTACCTCCCTTCCAGCCTCCTGACCTCAGGTGGAGAGATGGAAGAGAAAAAGAAGCTGAAGGTGGTGTGGACAATAAAGAGAGGCAGAACTGGAGATGCGAGGGTACTGAGGAACAGCCTGATGAGAGTAGGTGGCAATGCCACCTAAGGCCACGGTAAGGTCCTGGTCCGTGCTGCCACCAAGAGCCATGTCAGGGTCTGTGGTCCTGTAGCAGCAAGGCTCTGTTAGCAGAAAAGAGCAGGAGGTTTTTCCAGGTCTGGGCTGCTATGTGGGGCCATGCTGATATGGAAGGGCGGTGCAGAGCTGGCCCCACTGGTTGCCTGAGCATGTTGGGAAAGCTGGTTCTGGCAGCAAGAGAGCGGAAGAGAGCTGACCCCACCCATCCCTCGCCAGCAGCAGTACTCAGAGAACAGCCTCCCCGCCCCCACCTTGCCCAGGAAGGAAAGAAGTATGGACCCAGTTGTAGGAGTTATAAGTAAGCTGGCCTAAGAAGAGTGGTGAATGGGCAAGGGAGAGATGCCCTCCTCCCTCCACTTCACTCCTCACCACCTGTGGCAGGCTGGAGAGCTGGCCCTGAGGTCATGAGAGCAGGAGAGCTGGCCCTACTCCTCACAGGCTGTAACACTCAGGATAGCAGGACCCAGCACCTCACCAGGGCAGCACAGTAGAGCTGGCCCTGCTGGCATAGGTGAACTGGCCCCAAGGGCATAAGAGCAGGAGAGCTGGCTCTGTCCCTTGCCAGCTGCAGCAATAAGTGAGCTGACCAGAGCAGTGTTAGGGAGCTCACCCTGGTGGTGTGGGTGCCAGAGAGTCAGTTACTACTCAGCCCCAGGGCTTTGAGTGGGCCCACCCCAACATCTACCCCATCCCTGAACCGCTGGAGTGCATGAAGGGCCAGGTCCTGCAGATACAAAACTGCAGGGTATCCGTGATATAGAGCAACGACGGGGTAACCAAGAGGAGGATCCAGTCCTGGTGAGGATCCAGTATTGAGAGTGTAGCAGAAGCCAAAGCCCTGAAACCAGACCAACGTCTCATTGCAATGAAGATTTACAAGTAAAGAAGTGTGGACAAAAGGGTATATTTTGTGATACACTGTGATACATTACAGCTTCCACGATGAGATTTTTCTTTTCTTTTGCAGAGGAGGCTGCAAGGATGAAGGGCATGTACGAAAGGATGAGGAGATGAGTGGGACTGAGAAATTCACAAAGAATCAATAAAAAGTTAAATTTAAAAAAAGGCAAATGAGGATGTATTTCATAGAAAGAAAGACAATTCTGCAAAATACCAAAGACAGGGCAAGTACGTAAAGACTAAAATGACCATTTTTCTAAGGTTAGAAAGGCAAAATATTTAAAGGCTGATAATGACATTCATTACTGACACTGTATATCATTTTTGCCTAAGCCCGTTTTTAATTTCGTAATATCTATCAAAAATTTAAACATAGCATGGTGGCACATGCCTTTAATTCCAGCAGTTGGCAGGCAGAGGCAGAGGAATCTCTGTGAGTTCAGGGCCAGGCTGATCTACATAAGGCGTTCTAGGCCAAAGCTATGTCAGTGAGACCTTGCCTTAAATATATATATTTAAATGTCAGGGTGAAATGATGCATGCTCTAAGACCAGCGCTTGGGAGGTGCAAGGTTGGTCTCAGCTAAACAGATTTTGGTGTTACTAAATATATATCTAAATGGGTAATTATTTTGGTTTTAAGCTCTAAGAACTTATCCCACAATGATTTGACACAGAAAGATGTATCTATGAAGGCATTATTAGTCAGAATATTAATTTTAGTAGTAAACATAAAGCCGTCCATCATAACCTATCTCTTTGCTAAAGACATAGTAGATACACATGTGAAGACAGATAACATATGTGTCACACACTATATAGATGTCTCACATGCCTGAGCTTTTTTTTTTGAGGGGGGGGAGGCAGGTCTCATATAGCCCAGGCTGACCTTGAACTCGCCGTGTAGCTGAGGATGGCCTCCAGCTTCTAATCTTCCTGCCTCTATCCCCTGAGTGTTGTATTTATAGGCACGCCACACACCTCTACTGGCAGGATGATGTCATCTTGGGTGGCAGGACGGATCTTTGTCTCTGCCAGTTCAAAGAATGAAAAGTCAGGAAAAGCAGGGTCTCAGGATTCAGGCGAGTTTTATCAACACTGAAAGCACAGGGCCTCTCTGCCTCCTAGGAAACCCTTCTACCACTGAGCTACACCCAAACCTCAGAGGGTTTCATTTTAGAAATTTTATAGAGAAAATGTTGTTTCTCCGGGTTTAATTATCTACTACTGTCATTCTTGTGAATCTTAATTTCTTTCTGCCTAATTTTTATTATACATAAATAAAGACAGTGGACAGTCATTTTTTTACCCTAAATTTACATTTGAATGGCCTTATAGCTTCAAAAATATTTATGCCTAGGATGTACCCTCAAATTAGAACTTAGAATGAGATCAGACTATCAGTATTATTTGATATTTGAAGTATATTCTTGGCTGTTTTGACATCAAGAATATACATATATTAGGGACAAACTTTCTCTGCTGTGAAAGTATTTTTCCTAGAATAAAAATTCCAGTTTTTGAGATAAATCATCTTTTCCTTAGGAATAGTAGGTAAAAGTTTCATTTTCTATCCTATTAGGGAATCAGATGTTTTATGTATATAATTATATGATGTAATTATATAATTTACATATGTACATATATGTATATATTATAATTATATATGTATATAATATATTATATTATAATTATATATAATTTACATATGTACATATATGTAAATATGTTTTATATTTATATACATTTTACATATATGTGTTTATATATCTCTGAACATATTACATATATATATGAACATAACCATTTGATCTTTTCTAAGAATGTCATTAAAGCCTCCAAATACAATTTTTTTATGTTTGATGGAGTGGTGTTTGTCCATTATGGTAGGCTCATTTTCTTAAGCATTGTTTTTTGTTTGCTTATTTATTTTTTTATGTTCACTAATACTTGGTGAAAATGCTTCGTGCTTTTGCTTCCTTAGGGAAATAGTCTCAGCCTAACTGCCGCTTTGAGAGGGTTCTGCCTCTTTTGCTCTCTATGATGTGTTCACCTAGCAACGGTTTCTGTGACATGCAAACATTCTATTGGCAAATTGTGCAGGACACTCACTCATTTGGGTGTCTCCTGGGAATCGATTTTGGATTTGGGATGTTTCTCTTGATCCTGATATGGTAAAACATTAAAAAAGCTTTGTTCTCTCTCCTAAGTGAGCCACAGCAGGCTATGTCTTATGTGTAAGAAAGTAGGACACACAGAGTGTGAGGGTGGGATTTTCAGAGTTGTAGAAAGTAAGCTGTAACCTTAAATAATCTTAGATAGAACTCAATGTCCATTAAAAAATTTTAATTACATATGTGTGCATGTGTAATTACCATGGTGGTCAGAGGACAACTTGCAGGAGGTGTGTGGCTATGTGTGTGCATGCCTGTGTATACAGATACACAGTACATACATCATGTGGAGGTCAGAGGACAACTTTCAGGGGCTGTTCTCTACTGCCAGGTGAGTCCTAGGATCAAGGCTCGGGTTATAGGAGTTCGGCGGCAAGGAGCTTTAACTGGATGACCCTCTCATTGGCCTTCATCCTTCTCTTGAACCTCCATAACAGAAAGACTTAAGTATTAACCAGGCCCTCTGAGTGCCCTTACGTGTGTGGCCTGCTGCTCTAGGGTGTCCTCATCCAAGCTAGCACTATGCGTCACACAGTTTCCCTGCTTCTTTTCAAATCTCTGCGTGCTTATGTCAGTACTTTGAGTAAGATTCCATGAACCTGAGAACATGGGACTGGAGAGATGGCTCAGTGTTGAAGGACCTCATTTCTCTGAGGGAGGACCCAGGTCCAATTCTCAGCCCACGTATGGTTCTTCACACCCTGGAACTCCAGTTCCAGAAAAACTATACACATTGTATATACAGACACCTCGGGCACACACACACACACACACACATACACACTAAAATAAATATTGAAAAAGAGTATTGGAAACACCAGCCCAGACCCTGACCTCCAGTAACACTAACACACTCAGGGACCCTGATTTTAATCCTTAAAACTGAAAAAATAAACAAAAAAGTAACATAGGTTACATTTACGCTATTCTTTGGACATAAAGAAGCTCTATAAACTATTGTATACACATTATCAATTCATTTATGAGTTTTTATAGGTTGGTTTTTCTTGAATCCTGTAGTTAACATTTTTGATGGGTTGAAAACTTAAAAATGAGGGAAATTCACAGGTCAAAGAACTATGACTCAGATATAGCATTAGGAATGACGTGTATATGTATATATATATATATATACATATATAAAACATATATTAGAAATATATAATTAAAAATTAAATGTATAATGTAATGTAAATATAGATATAATATAAATATATAATATAATATTTAATAGATATAATATATAATATAAGTATTTAAAAAAGAATATATTCATATATCTCCAAATGACACTTCAACTATTTTATGTTCTCATTAGAAACTAGGTCCACATTGTCTCCAAGAAACAAGTTCAGCAGGCAGCCCCTTCTGAGGCCTGACTGAACACTGAGACCACTGAAACCTTCAAGACATCTTTGCTTGTTGGCCCTGGGCACGCCTCAGCCTCTCCTCCTGAGCGCTGTGCGGAAATCCCCTGGGAAGCATCGGGGTGACCACCGGTGGACCTGTTTCATGCTTCCTGTGCCTCCAGAATGTCAAGGCCACCCCAAACTGTAAGTCGCTCGGATCCAGGGAGGCTTGCTCATAGCCAAAGCACCGAGGCCTGTGATTCCAACCTGTTAGAAGCCAGGCCCCGATCACATCTAGCAGCTCAGGAAAACGTCCCAGTGGTGAGTTGGACTCTGGTGCTTTGTTTCCATTCTGAGAAGGAAGGAAAATATTGTTTGGGTACTGTTGAGAGCTAGTCAACAGTAGGGAAGGGTTGCTTCTGGCTGCCCATTTACTGGGGCACTTAGCATTTCTTTGCTAGAGTACAATACAAAAGATAAACTCAGGGGCCTGTTGACAGAGTTCAGCAGATTAACAGTGTTTATGGCACAAGCCTGATGGCCTGAGTTTGATTCCTGGGACCCACAAGGTAGATGGAGAGAACCAAGTCCCAAAAGTTGTCCTTTGACCACCATATGAAAGTTGTGGCACACACTTGATCATACATGCAAAAACAAATGTAAAACAACAACAACAAAAACCAGAGGTTAAATAATATTCCATTTTTTTGTTTGCTTTTTGAGACATGGTCTCTCCCTATGGCCCAGGACCCTATAGCCCAGGCTAGCCTCCCATTTATGTCTCCTCCTACATCAGCCTCTAGAATTCTAGGATTGCAGGTGTGAGCCGCCATACCTTCATCTTTGATACTTGAGACTGTATACATGACTGGCCTGACACTATCTAATCGGGCAAGCCTCACAGTTATGCTGACCACCCCTGCCTCTGTTTCCCTACTGCTGGAAAGACAAGTAGGCCATCATGCCAGTCCTCTCCCACTTACGTATTTAATTTTTTTTATTTACTGATGGATTGGTTGATTGATTGATTGATTGTATGTGTGTGGGGGTCAGAGGACAACTGTAACAGTCAGTTCTCTCCTTCCACCATGTGCTTGTCAGGGACAGAGCTCAAGCCATAGGTTTAGCAGCAAGTGACTTTACCTCATGAGCCATCTGGTATACCTCCCACTGCTGATTTCTAAGTTTAACTCCAGAACAAGAAAAAGTGAAACATATGGATCTAATAAAACCTCCAATAGGTTTTGGGGTTGCTTTTTTTTTTTTTTTTTTTGGTAGTTCAACTTACTACTGCCCATTACTCAATCAAAATGAAAGCCTACTACAGAGTATCTCTGACCTTACTGTTTTGTAGTTTAGGAAATCCCACTAGCGAGCAGCCGCAAGATTTAGTGGCACCACCAGATGGCCCAGCTCTCCTCTTCTGCCCTATGGTGCTGCTGGGTTCACAGACTTCATTCAGGACCTTAATGGGGATTTTTTTTTTTCTGGAATTTAAATATCTTTCTCAGAACAAATGATGGCCTTCCATTGACGTTTTTAAGAGCACTGAAACATCCAGTCTTTAGCTTATTTACCGCTAGAGCAGCGGCTCTCAACCTTCCTAACGCTGCGGCCCTTTAATACAGTTCCTTCTGTTGTATGACCCCAAGCATAACATTTTTGGTTGCTACCCCCATACCTGTAATTTTGCTGTCGTTCTGAATCATAGTGTAGACATCTGATGTGCAGGGTAGGAGTTTGGCGCAAGCCCGGGGTACAGGAGACTCTGTTTCAAAAAAAGAAATTTGGCGACATTCCACTATCTTATTACACGTAGTCTGTTTGTTACACCTCATTTGAGCATGACAAAAATCTGCTTGTTTTTTTTGCATTTTGTTTATTTTATTTTTGCATGCCTTTCCTCTTTTCTATTATCTTAGAAGTTATACAATATATGATATTATTTCCACAGCTATAAAGCTTTTACTATTGAGGTAGATGTGATCAAAACACATTTTATGCCTCTATGAAATTCTCAAACAATAGTTTTATTATATTAATATACATATACACTTAGCATAGTTAACTAAAATCTTTACTAGTCATTTAAATTCTTTAGTACTGAACTTTTGTAGTACTTAACTTCTTTTTATGTTATTAATCTATGTCCCTCTAAAAAAAGAAATTTCTGCAGGGCACGATGGCACACACCTTTAATCCCAGCAATGGCGAGGCAGAGGCAGGTGGATCTCTGAGTTTGAGGCCAGCCTGGTCTACAGAGTGAGTTCCAGGAGAGTCAGGGCTACATAGTGAGACCCTGTCTCTAACTAACTAAGTGAATACAAAAAAAATTATAAAAAGAAAGAGAAGAAACTGCTTGTATTAATTGCTTTTCTATTGCGATAATACAATATCACAACACAAGGTGACTTACGGAAGAGTTTATTTGGGCTTACAACTCCAGAAGGTTGAGTCCCCTCATGGTGGGAGTAACGGCAGCAAGCAAGCAAGCAGGTCCGACGTCAGGATCATGTTGAGAGATCACATCTCAACCACAAACGCAGAGCACAGGTCCGGCTGGAAGTGGCAAGAGGCTTTAAACTCGCACAGTTCTTGCAGTGAGGTTCTTCCTCAGGCAGCCCCTTCCCATAACCTCCCCCAACAGGGTCACCAACTGCGGACCAAGTGTTCAGATGCTCGAACCTAATGGGATTGGAGGAGCCTTCCTTGTTCAAGCTACCACACTGTTTTTCTGGTGTGTGTGTGTGTGTGTGTGTGTGTGTGTGTGTGTGTGTGTGTGTTGTGTCTGTATGCTGTATGTTTGTGATGTATGTAATTTTGTGTGGTAGATGTACACATGTGCCTGTGAGCGGGCAAGCCTGCTCCTGGGCCAGCAGAAGCCTGAGGAAGGAGTTGGATCCTCTATCACTCTCCTCTTCTGAGGCCGTGTCTCTCTGAACGCAGTTGCTAGGCTAGAAGCCAGCAACCTCAGCATTCGCGTCTCTTCTGCCACCAGCCCTGGAGATAGCCACTGGGCCATCCCTCTAGCCCAGGCTTCTTCTTGTTATTGCTCAGTAGCTTTAGTTTCTGCCACAGATATTACAACTTAGTACCCACGTGGTATTCTAATTTCTTCTTCTTTTTATACTCCCTCCCCACCCTTTTGGTGATATCTGTGGTCCAGGTTGACTGCAGACTCACAGCAATGCTCCTGCTTCAGCCTCCCAAGAGCTGCGATTACAGGTGCCAGCCACAGCACGCAGCATGTCTGTTCCCTATTCTTGTTTGTATTTCACACTTGATAAGTTTGCTTTCTTTCTTTGTGGAGTGCATGAGAAGCTTTCTAAAGTACAGACATATTATAGTAAACTCAGTTTGTCTACAATGTCTTTATTCCGTTCTCAATCTTGAAAAGTAATCTGGGTGTGTATTCCAAGTACCTGGGAGACAGGAGGGTCACAGTTTGAATCCAGCCTAGGCTGAATATCTAGACCCTGTCTCAACCCAAACACCCAGACATAACTTAATTCAGTATGAAAATATGAAAGTATGAAAGTATGTTTCCAGCTAAGTATGAACAATATGAATGGTCTCGAAGATGCCACCCAGTCTGTTTATAATGTAACTGTGAGAGTCTGAGACCAGCTTCTGCCATCCATGTGAAACCCACAGGCGCAGCCAAATGTGCCTGTGATTCCAGCACTGTAGAGACAGGCAAAGGTCACCCACTGGGTGAGCAAAAAGCAGCGAGAGATGACAGCACCTAAGGAAACACAACACACACACACACCAAAAAGGAAAAAAAAAAAGAAAGAAAGGAAAATATGAAAATTTATACTTCTTAGAATGGATGAAACATGATACATTTAAAAAAATACATTAAAAATACCATTCTGCTGTTTTCCGCTCTCTGTGTTAGTAGCAAGAAATCACTCTGATTGTTGTTTGTAACTGTCTCGTGTCTAGGCTGCTCTCAAACTCACCATATAGCTGAGGAGGGCCTTGACTGTCTCATCCTTCTACCTTCACCTCTGGAGTGCGGGGATTACAGGTGTATGTCACCATGCCTGGTTTTCCATTAGCTACCTTTTTCTTCTCCTTTTTGAAACTACTTTTTCGTTTTTAAAGAAAAAAAAAAAGTTCCTTTTACATTTTAATGTGTGCGCGCGTGCGTCTGTGCGTGCGTGCGTCTGTGTGTGCGCACACGCATGAGCATAGGTCCCTTCAGAGGCTAAAAGAGGAAGTCAGATCTCTTGAACGGGTGGTTGTGAACCACCCGACTTGGGCGCTGTGAACTGAACTTGAGGCCTCTGGAAAGAGCATCAAGTGGCCCCTAACATCTCTGCAGACCCTGGAAACTACTTGTCTCTTTCTTTTTAGATTGATTTTATGTGCGTGAATGTTTTGCTTTCATGTGCCCATCTGGTACCACATTTGTGCCCGGTGCCCTTGGAGGTCGGAAGAAGACATACGGTCACCCGGAACTGGAGTTACAGATGGTTGTGAGTCACCGTGTGGGTGCTGGGAATTGAACCCAGGTCTTCTGCAAGAGCCACAGGTGTTCCAGACTGCGGAGTCGTCTCTCCGGAAACTACTTTTAGACTTATTACCGTGCATGCATTTGTGTGCATGTGTGTGAAGTGTATGTACACATAAGCCTCCATCTGTGTGCATCTGCAGACGTGCTTGGAGGTTGGAAGAACATGTTGGGAATCCTCCTCTTTGGGGCAGGGCCACACACCTGCATGCCAGAAGAGGGCACCAGATCTCATTATAGATGGTCTTGAGCCACAATGTGGTTGCTGGGAATTGAACTCAGGACCTCTGAAAGAGCAACCAATGCTCTTAACCTCTGAGCCATCTCTCCAGCCCACTTGTGGGGTTTTTTGGTTTGTTTGTGTGTTTTTTTTTTCTGTCTAGATGGGCAGCCAGCAATCCTCAGAAATCCCCCTGTCTACACCCCAACCTGCCTGGTACGGGCTACAGGTGTGTTCGGGACCATGATTTGCCTGCTATGGGGGGTATTGGAATCCGGACTCTTGACCTCCTGCTTGCCCGCTGAGCCTCTCCGCAGCTCTCTCTAGAGTTATTAGACACACATGGAAATGTCTCCAGGCGCTGTGTGTATGTTGTCTGGATTCCTGTCCCCTCAGAGATCACATGGCACGGTTCACACAGGCTGCATTTGCTTCCCGATTGTAGAAACTGTCGACAGGGAAGTATTTGGTTTTGAGGGAGGTAAAGCAGATCAGCATGATTCTTTCTGTTCTCCTGCAAACTGCTGGGTTTGCTAGGATGGCACCTCAGAGTAAATATTCTAAAGCTGCTGCGTCCTGTTTGCAGCTTCTTGTTGTAAGAGTTCGCATGGGCCAAAACGTTTATGTGTTTGGATCTGCCCGGCACAAATTTAGTTAACTGACTGGCCATTTCTCTTTACAGGCGTGTTTTGATCCACCTCTTGAAGTGGATATGACCAGGAACCCAGCTGTATACAACCAAAAGGCAGCTGACCCACTCCATCCTGACCTTGCCAGCTTGTTGGTGAAAAACAAGACTCTTTTCTCGGAGGTATATGGATTAAGAAAACAAAAGTGGGGATTATGTCTTCCATCCATCAAAGTTAGGAGGGAAATTTCTGGCAACAGCACGAGGCATTCTCTTAACCCAGTTTCCTCCTCCTCTCCGTACTGAACTCTCATCTCTGAGGAGCACAGTTTGGATTCGTGGCCACCTTTAACACTGTGCTGAAGATGGCGCCTGGTTCAGTGCTTTTGGAGGTCAGCCTGTTGCTTGTAGAATACCGTGCTCAAGTTTTATGATACAGGGGCTAGAGAGATGGCTCGGCAGTGAAGAGCACTGTCTGTGCTTGCAGAGGACCCATTTTCAATTCCTAGCACCCACATGGCAGCTCTCAGCTCTCTGTAATTCCAGTTCCAGAGGATCGGACACTCTTCTGGCCTCTGCAGGCACTGGGCACACACACGGTACATAGCCATACATCCAGACAAAACAACTATACACAATAAAAAAAAAAAAAAAAAAAAATTGTAAGGGGAGCAGAGGCAGTCACCAGCATGAACTCAGTTGCCTGCTCTTTGATCACCTCCCCTTAGCAAGGTGGCCTTACTAGGTCACAGAGAAAGAGGATCCAGACAGTCCTGATGAGACCTGATAGGCTAGGGTTAGATAATAGGGGAGGAGGACCTCTCCTATCAGTGGACTAGGGGAGGAGCATGGGGAGGAAGTGGAAGGGATGGTGGGATTGGGAGGAGAGGTAGGAAGGGGCTACAGCTGGGATACAAAGTGAATAAACTTAAAATAATAATAATAGAAAAATTTAAGTAAATAAAAGATGTTGCCCCATAAGCCCCCCTCCCCCCCCGTGTGTGTGTGTGTGTGTGTGTGTGTGTGTGTGTGTGTGTACCTGAGGCTCTCCCCTAGGACCTTGCACATATAGGACTGAGATACACTGTGGGTCCTAAAATTTTTTGTTTTGTTTTGTTTTGGGAGACAAGGTTTCTCTGTGTAGCTCTGGCTGTCCTGGAACTAGCTCTGTAGACCAGACTGGCCTCAAACTTACAGAGATCCACCTGCCTCTGCCTCCCAGTCCTAAATATTTTTCATGGAAAGGATGAGTTCCCATTTTCAATGCCTCACGAGGCGGCAAACATCCGCTAGTCTTAGTTAATACTTGGTAATATCTGAGTGTATCACACGAACCACCTTTGTAGGAAATACCTCGACTTTCACTGCCTGCGATGAAGTCCGGGGAGCGACTGTAGAATTTCTTTAACTGAGCGTGACTGTCCTCAGGATTAGTCGGCTGAGACGGCCTTCTGGTAACCATGGCTGGAGACCCGCTGGTCTCTGTCTACGTGAAGGGTGCTGTACTATAGCTGCCTGCGTCTGTTCCACCTCTCTGTGATGACCTTCAAGCAGAATCCTCTGAATGCTCACCAACAGGCCAGCCTCGGATAAGCAGCTCTCGGTGTGGCTGCGTTTGCTTCCTGGGGCTGCTATAGTCAAGTATCAGACTGAGCGCTTAAGCAACAGCGCCTACTAGTGGTCATAGCAGCTAGAAGTATGGGCCAAGGTGTCAGCAGGGGTAGCTGCTCCTGAGATGTTTCTTCTTGGGTTGTAGAGGGCGATCTTCTCCTGGCATCTCTCTCCCCCAGCATCTGTGTTCAGGTTCCCTCCCTCCCCCTGCTCTCATCCTCCATCTCCTCCCCTTCTGAAGATTTATTTTATTCGTATTTATGTGTGTGTCTTTGTGTATGTCTGCGGACATACCTACAGGTGCCCCAGGGGACTAGGAGACATCAGAGCTCCTGGAGCTGAAGTTACTGGTGGCCGGAAGCTACCTGACGTGGGTGCTGGGGACTGAACACCAGTTCTCTACAAAAGCAGCGAGGCATCCCAACTGTGGAGTCATCTCTCCAGCCCCGAGTTTCCTTTTCTTATAAGGACACCAGCCAGGAGGCTGGCAGGATGGCACAGTGGGTACTTGCCTCCAGTCCTGATGACACGAGGTCCGTTCTGGGCCCCAAACAGAAGGAGAAACCCAACCCTACAAACTGCCTTCTGGTCACCGTGTGCATTACACAGCACATGCACATGTGAATGCGTGCGCTCACACATACAAATTAATATTTTTTTTGAAAAAAAAAAAAAAAGGACACCAGGGACCACCTTAATGATGATATTTTAACTTAATTACTTGACTTAAAAGTATCACATTATGAGATATTGGGGATTACAATCCCAATATAGCAGCTTGGGGGGATACTTAAGTTGTTCCTGTAGAGGAATGTTCATTCAGAACATGGCTGCTCTGGCAAGAGATCACAGCCAAAGATCGTCTAGGTCTGTGTGATCTGACTGGAATACAAACACGAGTCTAACCCAGGAGACAGAGGCAAGCAGATCTGAGTTCTAGGCCTGCCTGTTATAGAACAAATTTCAAGTAAGGAAAAGCTTAGATCCAGGCATGGTAGTGCATGCCTTTAATATCAAAACATGAAGGTAAAGTTAGTTTGTAGAAGGAAGCATCGTGTTTGAAAGTGGTGTCTAATTCAGTGGCAGAAGAAGTGATGAATCAGAGAAAGAGTTGACAGAGTAGGATATGCTCAAATCTTATGAGAGAGGAAAGGGAAGCTACTTAAAGGGCAGTGAAAGAGAGATGGCAGTTTCACCTGGACAGTAAGAGAAGATGGGTTGCAGACAGAGAATTCAGGTGAAGCTAGAATGAGCCAGAGAATGAAGAAAAATCCAGGTGATTAGATTAGAGAAATTTGCTTGAATTAGTTGGAGGCCAAGCAGAGCAATTCAGGGTGCTGAGAGAAAAGCCAGATTGAGTGAGTCAGTTGGGAGAGAATTTTGAGCCATAACAGCTGAGTTGAACCAGCCAGCCCAGAGCTCAGTAAGAAGAAAGGGTGAGCTTATTCAGCAGTAAGTCTCAGAGGCTGAACACGTTCTAGGCCTAGGTTAGATTGTACGGAGGTTGAAAGCTTTCAGGACTAGGCCTTGGTTAGCAGAAGGAGGGTTGGTTAGCAGGAGGCAGTAAACCTCCTTCTGCAACAATTGAACCAGACAAAAAAAAAAGTTCCTCTTATGTGTTCATTTTCTGCCAAGACTTTTGGTTCTTCGTTGCTGTCTCATCTACCAATAGCTCAGTCCCAGATTCCACTTAGGAAGACACAGCTGTAGCTCTGAGGGACTGGGGTCATAGGTCAGCTGGTACAGTGCTTGCCTTACCTGTGTGAGGCCAAGATTCGATACCCAGGCCCACAAAAAGTGTGTATGTGTATATATTGTCACATACTTCTATGTGTATTTTGTATTTCTTTTGATTTTATCTTGTGTCATTTTAAAGGCGCATTTATTTGAGCCCGAGGCTCAGTGGTGCACATCAGTAATGGCAGAGGCAGGTGTGGTAGACCAGGCCTTTTCATTTTATTTACCCCAAACATTTTAAAAGTATGTTTGCCTCCATGTGGGAAAGGTACATACTTTTAATCCCAATATCAGGGGGCTGAGAAATGACAGTTGAATTTGAGGGTTACAGGAGACCTTGTCTCAAAAAAAAAAAGCAAAACAAATCCAAACAATAAATAAACAAAAATAAGGATGAGGGAGATGAGTCAATTGGTCACGCGTTTGTCTTGCAAGCACGAAGATCCCTAAAACCGCTTTAAAAAGCCAAGCACTGTGGTGTGCACCTATAATCTTAATGCCAGGAGGCAGGGGCAGGAGGGGCCCTTGGGTTTGCCAGCCCAACCGGTGAGATCCAGGTTCAGTGAGAGACCTTTCAAAGATTAAAGTGGAGGGGCCAGTGAGACGGCTCGGCCAGCATAGGCACCTAACTATGCAAGCCTGCCGGTTAAAGCTTGATCTCCAGAGTCCACGTGCGTTAGTTGCTTTTTTGTGACTGACCAAAAGCAGCTTAAGAATTTAGTTTACAGTGTTCAGAGGGCTAGATGTCCGCAGTGACGGGGAAGGCATTGCGGCAGGAGTGGGAAGCTGAGAGACCGCATCTCGACAGCGTGCGGGAAGCAGACATCAAACAAAGTGGGGAGAGGCTGTAAACTCTCAAGGCCCCACCCCAGTGACGTACTTCCTCCAGCAAGGCTCTACCCCCGAAAGGATCTAAAACCAACCCTGAAAACACCACCAGTGGGGACCAAGTGTTCAGCTACATGAGCCTTAGGGGTCATTTCTCATTCAAACCAGGTAAAGACGGAGAGGAAGAGGCTTCACAGAGTTGCCCTCTGACCTCTACACATACAAATGTTATGTTGCGCTCCAGCCCCCCCCCGCCCCATTAGGAATAACAATGATAGAGATTTAAAATGTAAAATGAAGAACGCTGAGGTGAGAAAGGCAGCTAACATTGACTTTTGTTCTCTACACACACACACACACACACACACACACACACACACACACACACACAGCAGCAGCATATAAGTTGTCGTAGTTTGCTTTCTATTGCTGTGATAGAGACAACATGACCAAAAGCAACTTGGGGAGGAAAGGGTTTATTTCCGTATAGAGATTACAAATTGACCGTAAAGGGAAGTCAAGGCAGTGACTTGAAGGCAAGCACCGAAGAAGCATTTTCTCAGCTGAGGTTTCCTCTTCCTAGGTGACCCTAGTTTGTGTCAAGTTGACAAAACAAAAACAACAGCAACAACAAAACAAAACTAATCAACACATAAGTTTTTCCTGTTGTCATTGTAAGTAATAACACAGTAATAGGTTTTCAACACATTAGTGTGAGTCTGAGTTAATAAAATATAACCTACTTATTATGTTTGGTAAGGAGTTAGGAAGGAAGGAGTTTTCCCGAGAGAATAGGGTTTTTTTGTTTTGTTTTAAGATTTACTCGTTGTTTAAACAGCGTTCTGCCTGCCTGTGTGCCTGCAGGCCAGAAGAGGACACCAAGTGGGTGCTGAGAATTGAACTCAGGACCTTCAGAAGAGCAGCCAGTGCTCTTAAACCTCTGAACTATCTCTCCAGCCCCGATCAGATTTTTCTATCGTGTAGGGATGGAGTCCTCATTGGTCTTTGAACTGAAGTGACTAAAGCAAAGGCAGGCTTGGGATGAGGAGACGGAGGAGCAGAGAGCTGAAGAGAGCCGAGGAAGGAATGCTTGTATGAAGGAGCCCAGTAGAGATCACAGTTCTGCCTTCAGGACCACCCCTCCCCACCGCACAGGCTGTGTCACACGCTGCAGTAACAGGGAGGTGGGGACAACCTGTGGCCTCATTCTTCTCTACAGTATGTCTTAACGGTGACGGTGACGCTTGAGAGCGTTGGGGGTTTGTTGAGCTGGACTCAGATGCAATTACTGTCAGTGGTAGTGGCAAGTTTGGTGTGTGTGTATTCGCCGTGGTATATGTAAGGCAACATTCTACTGGCTGACCACGGTCCCCAGCCTATTTGCCATTGTTTAAGATAGACTCGAACTATGTAGCTCAAGCTGGCCTTGAACTTGTGATCCCCCTGCTTCAGTTCCTGAGTGCTAGAGTCAGTTCTCTTCTTCCACCCTGTGGGTCCTAGGGATGCCCTTCAGCTTGTGGAGCTTGGCTGCAAATGCCTTCATCTGGTGAGCCATCTTTCTGAGCCCTGAAAAGCTTTGAAACCGAACTGTCAAGAAAGAAAGGTTTCAGGTACCTTGCTTAAAGAAAATATGTAAATTATCTCCAAGAATTTCAAAGATTTTCTTCGGTTGCTTGCTTTGAGATGGAGTCTCACTATGTCGCCCTGGCTAGCCTTGAACTTGTGGGCTTAACTGAGTCTCCTTTGTAGGTTACCAAGTAGCTCAGGCTACAGCCATGGGCCCCAGTGCCCCGCTCACTACACACTCATGCCTGGCTTTCAAAGAATTATTTGTTTGAAGCTACCCTCTGTGTACATATAAGCATCTAAATATTCTTTAGGATCATTTTGTCATGATTTTAGATACTATATACATTAAAGAAAGAACATTCCATCCAGGCAAGGTGATGTGCACCTATGGGCTCAGGGCTCATGAAGCCTCCACAGGAGCCTTACTTCAGAGGCTGGCCTGGTCTCCATAAGGCTTAGAGGTGTAACTCGGTGGTGAGAAGCCTGCCTAGCAATGGGCAAGTCTCTGGGTTTGATCTCCAGCTACACCCCCTCCCCCAAAGACTCTGTAGCTCCTATTCTAATCTAACAGAAATTACAAAGTCAAAGCCAGGGAAATGCCAAAGACAGGCAAAGGCCTGTCTCCAAGACTGACAACCTCAGTTTAGTCCCCAGAATACACATGGCGGGAGGGGAGCAAACTTCAGCAGGTTGACCTCTGACCTCTGCATGTGTGCTGCCATGACATGTAACACACACACACACACACACGCGCACACACACAAGCTAGGCATGGTTGCACACTCCTATGGAGCTAGTACTCAGGAACTTGAGCAAATATGACGTTAAGTTTGAGATCAGCCTGGGTGGCCTAATGAGACCTTGTCTCAAAGATAAAAATTTGGTGATAGTTCTTATTATATGGTATTCTCATGTTAACATTACAAACGGAAGTTTAGCGATTTCAACAAGATACCTGATCCTCAGCATGAGTCATCTCCACCTTCCCCGGCAGCCTACCATTAAGTCCCTTGGGGACCCAATTGTCTTGAAAAGGTAGTTTTCCTCTTCACAGCATGTGTTTTGGTTGTTTGGTTATAATTAAACTTATCTCTCTTCATAACATGCAAAAATAATTGCAATGTGTTTTCTGTCCTATAATGGAGAAACAGGTGCAAGAGATCTGTATTTGGCTAGGGCCAAATTTAGAAGGAACAAATATCAGCCCTTTCAGCTGGTGGTTGTGTGGACTAGTTTAAGGAGTGTGGTATTGAGCTAAAACTCTAGCAGAGGTGGGCTGCAGTGGCAGAGTTAGGAAGTCACTGAACATATGGAGTTGGATATGGTAAGCAGGATACAAATTCAATGTATTTTAAAGATTTATCTTTAATTTATCTGCATGAGTGTTTGCCTCATATATACGGCCAAAAGAGGATATCAGATTCTCTGGAACCAGAGTTACAGATAGTTGTGAGCCAAGTCACCATGTGGGTGCTGAGTGCTAGAGATGGGACCTGGGTCTTTTGGAAGATCAGTGGGTGCTTTTAACCTGTGTGAGAGGAGGAGGACTTCCTGAATAAAGCAGGCAACTACACTGAGCACAAGGCCGGCCGACGAGAGGAGACTGTGGAGCTCGTCCAGCCTGTCTCTAACGTGAAACAGCTCCAGGTGTCCCCATCCTCATGCTCACTTTCGGCCTCCCAGGAAGACCATCACCACAGCTGCCCGTTGCAGTTGCTGCCTGCAGCACAATTCCGCGAGGAAGTGCGAAGGGCCCTGAGGGTCACCCTTCCTTCACCTGTGTCTACATTTGAAGCCTCACTCCCCCGGGGCAGGGGGTGATAAAATCCTGGAGTCTGGCGCTTGCTTTTCCTTTAGCCCCATGAACTTGGTGTCCTTCCTTCACAAGGGCCGCAAGATCATGCAACAGTGATACTCAGACTTGGCGATAAGAAACCCCACCACAGACTGGGACTGGATGAGGTGCCCGTTCCAGCTGCTTCTACTAATGCAGGCCCTGCCTAGTTGTGAAACTTCACAGACCGCATAGGCATTCAAATGACGTGTGTATTTTATTTACTAGCAAACAGATGTTGGGCCAAGCACCTCTAGAGGTGACTGACCTACAGAAAAGCTGGGGTCAGATGGCTACTACCTCGGCACTGGGGGAGGAGCTAGCGGCTCTCTGTAGGACCTCTCCATAACAGAGCAGCTTCTCAGGCAGGGAACACCCAGAAGGATGAAGCTGCAGGTGCTAGTTTTTGCACACACTGGTCAGTTCTTCATAAAACCCTCCTGCCTAGAAGGAGGAAGGCTTTGCCTTTCTGAACCTGGGATGCTGGGACTGTAAGGGGTGTGTTAGGTGGGGGACAGGGCTCTTGTCAAAGGACACACACTCAGAACTTTCGTAGCTCAAGACATCGCTTGTTTCCTATAGTCAAGCAAGTATTGAAGAGAAACACAAAGAAACTATAAAACACACATTGCCAGTCTCTGTCAAATACAGCAGGAAGGAGATCCAGATGGGCCCGGGTGTCTGGGAGCCCTTGGGGCAGATCTGGAACTAGAGTTACAGACAGTTGTGAGATAGCGTGTGGATACTGGGAATTGAATTTGGGTCCTCTGGAAGCACGACCAGTGCTCTTGACTGAAGGGCCATCTCTTTCTTTCATCACACAGCTAGCCTTTTCTTCTTCTCCTTCTTCTTCTTCTTCTTCTTCTTCTTCTTCTTCTTCTTCTTCTTCT